GTCCCAGTGACACTTCTGTTGGTCATTGGCAAAATGACAGGTCTAACAGAGACTTTAGGGCCACCCTGCCCACCATTTGGCCCCTGTCCTAAAGTGGTTAAACCAGTCCACTTTTTTACATGTCCTACTTACTTAATAGACCTATAATTAGTGGGATTTGAGATTATCACGGCGATGAGTACGAGTAGAAGTTTACCTTCTACCAGACTACACTGCAGTGCAACCCAGAAGACAGCCATTTTAGACTTACATTTAATTATCTTTATATACCTTTATATATTCTTAATTGTCTTTTATAACGAGGTTTTATGATGATGACGTAAAATGTTAGGCAAGGAGAACACATCAAGAAGCATTTTGTTACTTAATTTTGTACAACCATTTGTTGCTTTGTTATAGGCCTTCCTAAAGAAAGTCTTTCTTTATAGCCAATCGCCCGTGTGATGACCCCTTTTGTTACATATAAATTGGCGTGGATTGCACTAAGACAGTACAACTGAAACTATATTTAACCAGACTTAAGCTTCACGGAAATCAGGTTCGGTAATCCAAACGGTACAGAACCATATATAACTTTGTATTGAATTTTTAAGTGACAGGTTTGTAATTTCGCATTCAGCTTTTTAGTTCACACCTACAATTACGTTAGTTCGCCATTGTTTAATTACTGATTCTCATGGTGTTTCTAATGGCAGTTACAAACAGACTCAGAATAGCCTACCCGTCAGGTGTTGAAGTCTTCAGTTCACGGGTTGACCCGTACTTGTAGCTTCCTGTTTGTGGGATAAGCTGCTCACACTCGCTGTCCATTCTGCTGCTTAACCGCCCTCGTACTATGAGGCTAACCTCTGTTTTAAGTCAAGCGGGCTTATCGACAAGTCCAAAGTCCAATCTGGGATATTAAATAAATATTATGGTGTTACGCGACACCATAACCCCCTAAATGTTTACACTACAGTTCGGGAACTTGATATCCATTTATTGAATATTATTGTATTTAAAGTTATGTTTGACTGTTGTTGTCTAGGAGATCAGAGGTTCTGTTCTTGAGGCGACTATGCAAACTGAGATTTGTCTTCTATGGTTATGGCCTAGAAATTTTTTAATAGCCAGTGTTTAATAAATTACAACAAAGAAAACAGTGATTTACATTCTCTGCAACCCGGTGGTGAAAAAGAGCAGTTTTTTCCTTTGTCTTTGAACGTGTTCTTTGCCGTTGGAAAGTTGAGACATTATGCAAATAATTTTTCCTGATTTCAAATCCGTGCCTCTTTTCCCGGGTTCCAGTGGTCCTTGGCGTCGGCTAACACGGTAATGTGGCCGTAGTTCTTGAAGGGTTGAGAACTGCTGTAGGGTCTACTGACTGGAATCTTTCCATGAAAATAGTCAGAATAGCTGGTGCTTTCCGAATACTCACCGTAGGCCTCACTACTAGACATGGCTGCTGGGTAATTACGTTTATTGACTTGTGCACATGAAATTTGAATTATTTGTCTGCAATCTGACAGCTGCTGCAATTAACCGAATTGTTTAATGTAATAATGATTGCAAAAAATTTAGTTTGGAAAGGTCTCTCAGCTTTATTGCCCGTGTTAACTCGCGCCTAGCTCACACTTCTTTGAAAAAAGATAATTTGGCATTACTTTGATTATCACTAATCGCTTAAAGTTTCCTATTCGCCTTCCCATTACCTCGTTAGCGGCACGTGTGTGGAATGGGACGTTTTGAAACGGGCACTCTGGTTCCGTACTGAGATCTACATCCTCGGTCAGTAACGATCTGTCCACAAAAAGTAAGCGAGTATTGGCATTGCATTAATATTAGACATTGACTAAGTTATATTTGATATATGAGACATTTTGGGAGATTATTATATTTCTGTATTCAGGTGATGAATTGTCGTTAGGCGTACGCGTTTCTTGTTGATTTTTAGTTTTTTATTTTCTTTATTGGTGTAGTACTGCTTCTACTGCTACTACTACTAGTACTACTACTACTACTACTAGTACTACTGCTGCTGCTGCTACAACCAGATTTCAAAATTGCGAAAGGAATTAACATCGTACTAAAATATGTGGTTTAACAGTAAAACAAGTGAATCTGTGGTGAATTATGAATTTGTATTGCATTTTATTTCACTTATCATGTAATGACAAAGAAGGGAAACATGGTAACAACGTCGCTCTCTCTGGGTTACGGTGCAGTATAGAGATAGGTGATATAGCCGACGTTTCAGATAATCTTACTGCATCCATCTTCAAGGCGAAGTGACTAACTACCGTTGCACACTGTTGAGTTTGATTCGTCCAGCTATAGCCAGTGGAAAGTGAGACCGAAAATTGATCTCGAAAGGGTCGAACTCTCTCTTGAGGACTGAATGAGTGGGATGTCCACAGGATCCATGTTAGAAGTGTACAGTAGGAAAACCGCGTGATCTTCAATAATCATTTACATTTTAGTGGCTCTGTAACTAAGCCCATCAGATAACTGTGAATATTGCAACACTTATGTTGCTGACATGTACAAAGAAAAAATTGGATTTATATGACGGAACTAATGATATAGTTGTGAGCCCTGTGCATCTTATAAAAAAAGAAAAGAAAAACCTTTCTGAAACATCTTATAAGACGGAGAGACCAGTTAAGTGATGAGCAGTCCGGTAGATGTCAGGAGCTAACTTCTTTCTTACAGCGGTGAATTGGAGCTCAAGACCAGGGTTTGTTCGTTGCTCTGGTGGTACTACTGCCTTGAGTATGCATGTTTTGGCGATGATGCAACAGGCGAAGCCGGTGAAGTTGTTGATTATTGAATTGCACAAAGAAAGACAGCGTAAAAGCATAATGTCGATCAGCAGGTGTCGACAAAGTAGACCAAAACGAATTTACTTTATGGGAAATTTCATGCCATCCCTTAGACAAATTGACAGTTTGATACCATACTTCGATTATATTCTGAGTGCTTTTTATCAGTATTATAAATACATTAACAACGCTTAAAGGTATGATAATTAAGAAATGAGATGGTTTAATTGCATTGCTAGCCAGTCAGAATAAATGTCAGGGGTCTATTGAGTTAACTGCTAATTGCAGCAACTAACTAGCCATCTAACTATCCGCGAACTAAATATTTTATCGCATAATTAACCATATAATTAACTAATTGAGTTCTCAGTTAACCAACTAACCATATAAGCAAACAAACAAATAACAAGCTAATTAACTAACTACTCATTTAACAATCGAATTACCGAACGTGGCGGCAGTATGGTTAAAATTTTTGCTTACTATTCGAGAGTTCCCGGGTTCACATTACAGCCGGGAGACCTGACGCGACTGAGGCTTTTTGTGGTTTTCTTGATGTAAATGGCTGGTACAGTATTCCAATTAGTTCTTGATCGCTTCCTTCCTTGCCCTTTACAATTCATTACTCATCCTGTCATTCGATGCTATACAATCTGAGCTACTGACAGCGTTGTCAAGTGAACCATGAATAGAAATAAGCAACCCAGCCAGATACACTTAATCATCTAACAAACTGACTGACAAAATAAATGTCTAATCAAACATCTACGTTATTAGCATACGAATTAACTAGCCAGCCAACTGTTGTACCAGAAATATAACCATTCAACCACATATCATCTAATCATTTAACCAACCATAATAAAGAAGATGGTTCTCGAAACGCTGGTGTTTTCTGCATTAAGCCACCTTACACGGCTGGTAGCCCGAGAAGAGTTCGTTATACCTAGTAGCCGTGAAAGCTTCAAATCATACTTTTAACCAAGCACTTAGCCGAATAGTAATCGTATAATGTATGAATGGTCGATAGTGAAAGTTATCAGTTGTTATGGCGTAGTAAAATAGTAGGTTTCTAAGTAGACTTTTAAGTTGCTAAGTCCCTCCAGAGAGATGCCTGGAAACTGATTGATTGCCCAACGTTTACCAGTCCTCCACTGGAGTGGTGCCCACGTGTCGCCGGAGGAAAGAAGCCGATCCATCATTCGAGGTTGGGAGAAAAACTGTTGAAAAGTGAGTACAGAGAATTGCACATGGTTACAGCTTAATAGAGTTAAGAAGCTGATCTTTGGTAATTTAAGATAACGCGTGTCTTCTTTTAACCTCTTCAGGAAAGTCAAATTATAGGCTTATTTCTGCGTGGTTCGACTTGTGTAGGAGTGTAGGCATAGCAACGCCTTTAATTTCGCGTTTTTACTACCACACAGTTAATTCTAAGTTTTATTAACGAAATTGGTATTGAGGTAAAGTAATGACTTTTGAAGAAGTAATTTTTCTTCCTTAATATAGTTTAATGCTTTTACCATCAGCACAGTGGAGTTTTTAAGACTTGAAATTATAAGATTTTATTGCAGTATATATTGCAGATATGCTTCTGTATTGGACAAGTGCCAGTATGACGTCATCGTTGGTAATATCTTGTTATGCGCGCAGTTGCGCACCTAGACCTCCTCTGCTTGTACCGTGTTCAGCGCCAACCTATTTCGTTATGCAGAGTAACGGATAGCGTACGGGTAGCTTGTTATTGCGGACTCCGTGTTAAGTTTGTTCTGAGTAAACTTAGGTAAGGGAACCGTAAATTGCTGCCAGTAACTGCATTACATCTTTATGTTTCTAGAATGTATTATGCATGAAGTGAATATAATAAAGTAATGTAAAATGTTACTGAAAAATAGATGGCATGAACAATAAAATAATAAATATTAATAGTACGTCTGGATTTTAAAATTGTAAAATTTAAATTCGGATTAAGATCATTTTGACAAATTTTGACAAAATTGTCTGCCATTTACTCCCGCTATTAATAAGATAGTTCGTTGACATTCAAGTAACATATTCTTAGGTCTTATGTTACCAGTTTCCTTGAGTTGATGTTATTCGACATGTAGATTCTATTTATTTGAATAATTATTTCCTGTTTGGTGATAGGACATAAATCTGAGTTTATGGGTATTTGTACAAATGTGTGAAATGCTTTGACGATTTCCAGTTTTTAGTCAGTGTTTTAATCTGCTTAACCTCGTAAAGCCCAGAGAAAACTAATGTAGCACCAACTTTAATTCACATTAACTCTGCATTTTGTATTCGTAGGTTTCTTAATAATCTTATTGCTAACAGCGATCATTTCCGTAGATAGCGTTAATCATTTCGTCCTTGTAATGGATAAGTGTTGTTTTCTGTGAGGTACGGACTGAATTCTTAAATATTGTGTAAATTATCTTCGGTTGCAAAGATTAAACACCAGTTGGATGTGTACTCTTGGTGATCTGCACGGTATACTTTCATCAGTGCTTCTGCCATTAAATTTGTAGTACCCGGAAACAATTTCTTCGTGTGACCCGTTTCCCCCCCCCTCAATGTCGTAACGTTTTGAGCTAAAGAGACGTTTTTATGGACGTCGTTTTATGTGACGGGCATAAACAGAGAAATCCTTACTCTCGTTTTCTTCATATTGTCTCCAAATATGCAGTACACGGTTTGCTGTAGCCGAGGTAATGGCCATGCAAATCTAGGCTGAATATATTCAGAAGGAGTGGTGCATTGTCGTCGTACCTTCCTTGAACAGCTGACATAATTAATGAGTTGGCTGGACCGTACTAGTATTACAGAACTGTGCAGTTCGAGATGTTATTGGACCGCAAGCAAATTTCCTAACTTTGCAAACTGGTTCTTCATTGTTAGAGCACAAAGTTTCTGCCCCTCCAACCTGCGCGTTCAGTAAAATCAAATTCGAATTATCAGACTGTACAGACATAGCAGCGTGGAATGTTGTAATGTTGTAACTTATGTGTCCTTTTTTCTACTTAACAGAGTAAGAGTTAGTATTTTATTTAATATACCAGACTTTGGACAAGGCGCTGCCTTTATTTACAAATAAAACAAAGGTAAAAACGAACACCTGTACCTCGAGCGTGGTTCGAACCCAAAATATCATTGTTAGAGCGGTCAAGGACGATGCACGTCTTGGAATAGCGCCGAGTTGGTGGACTGTACCGGGCATTTTAATGCAGTGTATATATACTGTTGCGTAATTTTAATGTTATCTTCTCATCTTTACCACCCCATATATTATTCTTTATTTAAGATTTTTCGAAATGTATCATTACATAATATACCTATAAATTTATAGTAAATGTGTAGTACTTCCTAGCCTCAGAGTCATACGTTCTTCCCAGATCTTGTTATTGATCAGAATCATTGAAACTGCGGACAGAAGTTGGTCCGTGTTCCGGTGGATGACATTCTTTTATCTGTCGGCGCCACTTTACGGAACCGACAGAGACAGAACAGGTGGTGGAGAACTCTGATTGACTGGTACATTTGCTGGCGAATTCAATGCCAGACTGTCGTCAGGGCTCTAACGAGAATTTCTACAATGAGTGATTTATTGCTCCTGTGAGTGTAGTGACGGCTCCTTAGAGAATTACCTCGCCCTCGATTGGATTCTTCAGTCTCCGTCCTCTGTCCACTGTAGCCTACTACGCATTTTTATTTCTTATCCTACTTAATCGGCCACAAGGATACGAACAAATCTATGTAAATAATGACAATGGAGTATAATCTTATCAGATGGCGAAAATCATTAACATAACAGCAGCATAAGGACTAATGTTGAGTTTTGATTGTTGAGACCGTAAGTTATTTTATCAGAACACAATGAGATAAATATAAGTATTTTCGGAAAAATATAGGATTTTCGTGTAAATATTTTATTCATATACAAAAGGCAATCAGTGACAGGATCATGACCATGGACTGTACACAAAACTTCAGTAGCAGAAAGATGTTCTTTTAGATCATAAATAATTCAGTACGAGAAACACAGAACTTCATTGCACACTAGTCTGTAGTTCTCTGAGTTTTGTGTACCATATAAATTATTCATAATAAGTGGAAAGAAACGGTGAGAAGTTTGTTTCAGCAATCCACATGTTACTGTGTTATATTTAAACTCGCAGTGTTGGGGCGGAATGACCAGACTATAAATTCCACTTCATTGCCCGAGCTTTTAAATCAATTTTTATATTCAGTATTTCCTATAATGCCTTGAATCCTACATATTTTGGCGTCACTTGGTCAGTGACATGCAAACTACGTGATGATTCCGTGCTCTGCCATAGATCAGTGGGGCACATTTTTGATTTGGCTGAGTTTTCCAGACGGTGCCCGCTTGCCCTTCTACAATAGTAAAGATTAATTGAAAAATAGTTAAGGCGTTCGGAAATAGAAAAGGTGGAGCGATGAGAAATGGAAAGAGCCAAAGCTCATTGAAATAATTTTTAAGAATTCAATCCCCACTACAACTGTTTAATGTTGTTTAAAGAAATATATGTTTACACTGAAAGTCATAAGAAATCCATAAATACAAAATTTTGAGTCAGTGATTATTAAATGAAGTAGTTATTACTGGGCTTTAAAGTGTAACAAAAGATACTATTTTAAAAAAGATTGTATATTGTGGTATTGATTAAATTAATATTTTTCTAGCTGGTAATATAAATATTTAAAATTATAGGCATATTTGAGTGATGAAGCAATTTAGTTTTTCACATTCTGAATATTTTACTAGAATTTTAACAAAAAGACCACCCTAGTCACAGGATCTGGCTAATTTACTGTCGTCCTGGTTAGCCTGCCGTCTTGCTCTCTTTTGGTACAAGCTCTCTCCAAGGGCGTATTTGAGTCTTCTCCAGGCACCGGGGTGGGGCCCAGGTCCTTCCGGCCACTCGAGATAGGTCCTGGTGTCCAGAAGGTAGGAAAGATGCTGGGGAAGCTCTCTCCTATCCAGCCTCCCCAGCTCCACCAGAACCAGGAACTCACGATCGTCTTCAAATAGTTTGTGGTTCGCAACTTCCAGCTCCCATCTGCACCACTGAAACAGGGTGCTGGTAGGAACTGTTCTCTGTTTCCAGGCGTTAACCCAATCTGACGATAGGACTAGTAATTTTCTTTCACTTTTCACTGTTGTCAAACGTATATAGAATGTTAATCTTACCAAACAATATCCCTTCTTTCTTTCGCGAGTTATTTCTTCGGCCCTTTTGCTATTATACTCGCAATGCCCTTAATCTTACATATTAAATTGAAATTGTAGGTATGTGTTTGTATGTATGCATGCACGTGCGCTTACAGCTCGAGACATTTTTATGTTTAAGTCCTGAAACGCAAAAAAGAAAAGAAAAGAAGTGTTCGGGGTCTATTAAAACTAAGGGCGGTCTCTGTAGCTCTGTAACTAAGCACGATAGAAAAATGACGCCATGACTGATGATGTTAATTTCGCTGAGGAAATTACAGGAATAAAAGCCACAATGCAGGAAAAGTGTATTGGGTTCTATTTGTGGCAAAACTGGTTATTGTTTATGTTTGAAATTATTGCTCGTTTCGAATACCAACTTCAATCATTGTAGCCAGCTTTAGTAATTTCTACCAGAGACCCCACCCTCACCCCCGATATCCTCCGACCCCTATTTCGAAGTGGCCCGAGTTCATGATTTTAAGGACGATACTGTCATTTTCTGTATGGATTATTCTCAGTGTGTACTCACCTGGCTTCTGACGAAATGAGGGGACAGAATAACCAGAGTAATTCTGCTGTTTCTCATGCAGTCCACAATATTGTTAGCAATTATGGAGCCCAGAACAAAGTCTCGCTCGTGCAGACATAGGTGGTACTTCTCAGGACCTTCCTCCAGCTGGGGTTGCAGCTCTTTGATCACCCAGTCTCTGTCAGCGACACTGGCAAGTGGAGTAAGAAATCGATTAGTTAGTCTTGTAAATCAGGAGTCTGAAGTAATAAGAAAGTGGAAATAATTGTATTTGCACCCTCCACAAATTGTCAGAGCGATAAATCAGGGGAGATTAGGCGGGCTGGTTATGTAGCACGTATAGGAATGAATCAGCTAAACACACATTTTACTGTTGTTTGTAATAATTATTTTTATAGCAGTTATAATTGTAATTGTAATTTGAATATAATGCTGCCTCATGCCCCAAGTGGGTAAGTAAATGCGCTCTTCACAAAAGAAACAAAGGATTCAGCATTCGACAAGATGTATGAAACGTGCCTTTCATTGCAGAATGTTCGTCTCTGCGCTCATAATCTTTTACAGAAAGAAACATTCTTTTTACAGAGGAATGAAGCTATTCATGTTATTTTAACCGAATGCTGTGAGCAATGAAAATTCAATTTAAAACAAAATTAATTTCTTACAGTCTAGATAAATACAGCAGACAGACACATTCAGAAATTGTATTTCTTAAAAGACGACTGCGGAATGACGTCATTAGACGCCGTTCGTCTCTTTATAGTTTAAGCTCTCATTCTTCTGTGTATTTTCAAGATATTGGTGTACAGACAGGGACGTAAGCTTCTTTTGACAGCAGACGATACAGAGGGCTATTAAATTTGTCTCTGTGTCGAAAATATCACGCGAATAAGGGATGTATGGGGTGCTGGAGGCAAGGCGTCACACATTCTAGATCTTTGCACTACATGGACGTGAGTTTTGAGTTTTGAGCTTCAGGCTTCGGCCTCTTTATATCCGAAGGAAGGGTAGTCGATATTCGCTGGATCGATTTCTGGTGGGAACCCGAGTAAGGAGACCACAGTCAGAACAGTGACTGGGCTCTCTCGATTAGAACGCGCAGTTGGACGATGGGAGTTGCGTAAGAGAATTAGAGCACTCGAACGTGACAGCCATCTCGCTGCATCTTCCATTTCTTGAAGCATCGCTAAACCAGGTCGAGGGTGCCTGAGATCTGGGTGCTGAAGAGAATATTTGGGTCCGAGTGGGATGAAGTAACGGGAGGCCAGATAAATCTGCATAATGAGGTGCTTTATAATGTGTACTCTTCACAGATTATTAAGCTGATCGAATGAGCGAGGATGAGATGGGGTGGGACGTAGCACGCATATAGAAGATGAAAATGCACACAGTTTTGGTTCGAAAATCTGAAGGAAAGAGTTCGTTTGGAAGACCTAGGGATGGATGGGAGAATGCTATTAAAATGGATTTTAGGGGAAACGTGTTTGGGTGTAACAGTGATGACCGTAAACACGGTATCGTAATAAGGGAACTGCCCCCTCTGTATCTGTTTGATTTCTTAATTGAAAACATTTTGTTCCTGTAATTAAACAATTTTTAGTTATTTTACCTTCTTACTAAATATCGTAAGCATCATAATTTTTTTATTACTGCACGGTAGTCAAGGCAAATAACACAGAAATCTAATTTGTACCTTCTTTCTTGTACAGGATGGCACTGAATTTAGTTCATATTTAGTTTTAATTTAATAAAATTCGTGTCTTACTAGAGCGGAATAATGGGATAATTCCTTAATATATAGTTTCTTTGTGATTTTACAGAAACTAATAGTCTATAAACAACTACAATTGTCAGTATGGTCCAATATTTAAAAGCAGTATGTTTAATGATCATGATTATGATCTCACCTGTAAGAGACGAAAGCGTCGTAGTGGTACTGGCCTATGGGCTCATTTTCCCTGAGATGCCTCTGTCGTCTGATGTTGATGAGGTGCCTTACGTAAGCAATCTCAAACCTGTACCCATACATGGCGATGGCTGTCAGCAGTATCAGTGCCATGACAACTGTCAGTGGTAACCCAGTAACTAAAACCGGGTCAAATTTGTCTTCAGCTGCAACTGACAAGCACCATGTGCTGTTTAATGACACATTGATGATTTCTCTTCGTTTGCTTCTTGACCCACCACAGATCAAATTGTCTGTGGTTCCCAGATTGAAAATTTTAGTGTTCTTTTGTTGACGGAGCCACCTCTGGAGTGGTTGTATTTCACACGTGTCACAGTTTAAAGGATTTTGTCCAAGGTCAACGCTGTCTAAAAATAAAAGGGAATTGCTCATGTATTCCGAAATTGTTGTAATCGCGTTGTATGTTAAATTGAGTCGCTTTACCCACGACTGATTATAACCGCCAGCCTTCAAAAATACGTCGTTTTTGCTCCACTCTGACACTGCATTTTCAGATAAATTTATTTCCTCAACTGTTCCTGATATATATATACTTTCCAAATTTGATAATTTATTATTTGATAAATCAAGCAGGTTTAAACCTTGTATCTCAGCTGTTTCAAGTCTAAATCCGTTGATCAAAACGTTTGACGCTAAATTGAGTGATTTTAAATTTTTTTGTGAACGGAAAATATTTGGCGGTAACGTGGAGAGGTGATTGCGTGACAGATCAATATGCATAAGGGAAGGCATAAGGTCAAAGAACGTAACGTCATCTTCGGAAATTGTGATATCACAACCACTCAAATTAATTCCCAAAAGTTGGAATGGAATTTTATTGTGTTCCGTGTCATTTTTGTACTGGGCGAAATATCTGAGAGTCTCTAAGGATTTCAGTGGCACTTTTGATAAATTCAACCAACTGAGATTGATGACACTCTTCAGTTTACTAGAGATGTTTTCCACGTGTAGCTGAGGGTTTCTGGAAAGGTCTAGTACTTCCAGTTTCCTCAGCGACGAGATGCTGTCGGGCAAATATTCGATGCGATTCTTCGAGAGATCCAAACGCTCGATATTTGGTGTTGACTCGAAGACATCTGAAACAATTTATAAAAAGAAAAATGTACTTTGTAATTATGTATAGTATTAAAATAAACTACAATTTTATATGATGTTTTGTCTGGCTGTGAAACGTGGTTTCTCAACATGAGGCATGGCCATAATTTGAGGAAATCTGAGAACAAAATACGGCAACGACGAAGTTACGCGTTTGTGAGAAACTTAATAATTTTTACCTTTAACCGGTATTATTGTGTGACCAACTGTGGGCAGGGCATGTGGCACGAATAGGGACCATAATAAATATATCCAAAACTTCAGCAGGTAAAATGAAGGAAAGATACCACTTGGGACCGAGGTATAGACAGAAACGTGTTATTAAAATGCATGAACTTTGTACAACTGGCTTAGCGACCGGATGAACTGTTTCCCTTATTTTTCTCAGTATTTCGAAAGCGGATGCCAGGACGGTATCTTGAAACAGGCCAGGACCACGCTATAGCACGTTGTCCCTATTAGTCATTCATAATTTCTTGCATTTATGTTAAATAATTTAAAGTAGAGTAGATTTTGCTGGCCTTCATAAAACTACTATTTATTTGTGATTATTTGATGATTTCTACTTTTGTATTGTAGTAAATTAATACATTAAAATGTTACTTACTGTTTTCTATGGTGGTTATACCATTTCCGGATAAGTTGAGTGCTTTGAGGGCCGGTATGTTTCGAAGGTGCTTTCTCTGGAGGTGCGACCAGTGCGCACCAACTAACATCAGATCCTCAATTCCAAAACCGTGCAGATTAGGAAGAATTTCGCTGATGATGTCCAGTTTACTAGACCCTTGGACAAGATGTAACAAACGAATGCGTCCATTTAGGCGATTCCTTATCAGATTTCGGAGAGGCGTCCAGAAGTCCTCACTACTTATGTCGAATTTGCCGTCCCCCAGAATGTTCATCTCCGCAGTTATTTCAAGACTCGTGGTACAAGGAGGCCTACACAATGTGACAGTTATTTAATTGGGTTTATTTTAAAATTCTTTTAACGTATTGCAATATGACTTCAGTCTTGCTGGCCCACTATTTAATTAATTGCTACATTATGGCCGCTGAAGTCTTAGACTGGGCTAAGGTTGCTGTTTCATGTTTGCGGCATAAGAGAAAATAACAGTTCCTAAAGTGAGTTTAATTGTGTCATCTCTGACTGTGTCAAGTTCCACATACTTTCACACCCTTACAACTTTACGATGTATATGTAATTTACAGTGATTATATGTTTTTGTTCGTTTGTGATAGAATTACTTATCGAAGGCTATATAATTTTAAAGGATTTGCAGAATTTCTAATACAGTAAAACCCCTCTAGTTGGACACCCCTATATCCTGGACCCCGCTCTATATTGAACACTTTTAATTTGAACCGGCGGACATCCTATAATTTTACATATCCACAATATCCTATATCTTGGACACCCCTTTATCCTGGAACTTGGTCACCCCTTTTGTTGTAAGTTGGACAGGTGCATGCATGCACTTAGCTTCAATACTTTTATGGGAAATGTTTACAGTTAGTATTTTGTTGTTTTGAATTTATGACTTATGAATGCCTTCTACCTGCGGATTACCTTATGGTTGAAGGTGTGATACATTGAGCACATCATTGGAATGCAGCGAAAGTGTATAGTTATTCTTTTGTTGAACCCTTTACTGGAGTTTTAACTATATCAGTACTGTGCTTGCAACTGAGTTAAACAGTGTTAACAGAAATTGGAATGGTATGCTTTCGCTCATAA